TCATCTCGGCCGGAGTCCCCCTCGGCGGCACACTCACTGCCTGTCTATTAATCCCCCTCGTTATCTGCTCTAATGACTTCGATATCTTTTTCGCCACCTGATATTCTTTATTCCTCTCCGCTATCAATTTCTCTGCCAGTGTCGAGTTGACACTCTAAAATAACTATTTATTACTTTAAAATAAATAATAATAAACAATAATAAATACAATAAATAATAATAAATAACAATAAATAACAATAAATAACCACAATAAAAAATAAACCCACCTTCTCATACGAGCAATATTCAGCCCATAGCTGCTCTATATTCAGCATCGGCGTTATAATTCCCCTCTGATATATCTTCCTCACCGCCGATATTCGCTGATTCTCTGCGTACTGACCCACTGTCGGCCTTTAATATTATTAATTACAACAATAAAAACAATAATAATAACAATAATAAATAAACAATTAACACAATAACAATATATAACAATAATAAATATAATAAATAAAATAATAAATAATAAAATAACTTACGCAGATTTCAAAAACGATANATAACAATAATAAATATAATAAATAAAATAATAAATAATAAAATAACTTACGCAGATTTCAAAAACGATATATAATCCGAATAAATCGAGAACGAGTGCATATCGCACCCCACTTTATCCAATGCGAATTCATACGCCTGAGCCATCTTCTCCCTTAATATCTATTACTTTTATTATTTTTATTATACATTATTGTTATTAAATTATTATTTATATTATTATTTATTATCTATCATTATTTATATTATTATATATTATGTTATTATATCCATTATTATTAAACCCTCTTACTATTCATTATTATATTTATTACTATATCCAAAGAGCCCACTTCATATACCATTTTACAAATAATAATAATAATAATAATAATAATAATAAATAACAACAATAAATAAAAATCCCCACCTGAACGACGAGAGATGACCCTTCGTCTCCCTCACATAATACACGTAACACTTCCACAAGTCAATATTCAATACGTGTATTAAACATCGTCCGAATATCTTTAATTATTATTATTATATAATAAATAAATATAAACAATAATAATAAATAAACAATAATAAATAATAAATAAATAAATAAACAAATTCAATAACCAAAAAATATCCCACTTACCGCTTCCACATTTTCGTAATTCTTCGCTCTCAACTGAAATTTCATTCTGATAAATAACAATAAACAACAACAATAAATAATAAACAACAACAATAAATAATAATAATAATAAACAATAATAATAAATAAACAACAAACACAATAACAACAAATAATAAAACTCACCTCGTGGTCTATATACGCCTTCCAATACCGTCCCGCATTCGGAAACTGCGTCACAAGTTTCTCGTAAAATGGACGCACCTGATCGATGGGACGTGCCTTCAATTTTAATTATTATTATTACTATTAATACATCTACGCATAATAAATATGCAATTAAATAAGTAAATAAATATAAACATAATTACTATTATACACAATAATAATACACAATAACAATATATAATAATAATAATAAATAATAATAATAAAAAACCCACCTGCGACTCCCTCAGCAACAGATTCCACGCGTCCACATCAAACGGATTCAGCTCGATGCGACGCTCTGGACTCACCACTGACAGCGAACTCATTCCACTTTATTTCCTTATTATCTTTAAATTTTTATATTTATTTCAATAATAATAATAATAAATAATAATAAATATAATATTAAATAACAACAATAATAATAAATAATAATAATAAAATAACAAAACTACACAAAAACCAACAATAATTAACGAAAAACAATATTAAATGAAACAAAAATTTTTCTCAACGAAACAAAATGCAAAATGAATTTGGCTCACTTCCAACTTCCCGGTTCGCAATCGCGTCGAGACCAAAATTTTCAAACAACCACTATAACCATCTACTGCAACTCCACACCCACCACTCATCTGCACCAAATTTAACGTTTTCACTCTATTTATTTATTGTTATTATATTTATTAAATCACATCAATTTCGACTAATAATAATAAACAATCAAAACATCAATAATAATACATATTAATAATAATAAATAATATATATTATAATTAAAAATATACATATTAATAATAATAATAAATAATAATATACCTAATTTCTATCACAAATAACCAAATCTCCAATATTTCTGTGAATATTACACTCTCCAAATCAAATTCAATAAACAATATTCACTAATTTTATTCATTTCAATTCACATCAATTAATACAATTAATCATTATTATTATTATTCACACCTCAATTCCCTCACCATTAATTATAACAATAATAATAATAAATAATAATAATAATAAACACAATATAACACAACAACAAACAATCAATCCAACGCCTCATTAATAAATAACGGCGCCTTCATCGAGCTCGTGCTCTCTCTGTACTTCGCTATCGAATTTATCAAATCCTCCTCCTCTATCTGCCTTGCCGCTTCGTTATATCTTTAAATATTACATTAATATTAATAATAATAACAATAATAATAAATAATACTAAATAATAGACAATAAAAACAGTAACAAAACAACAATAAATAATAATAATAACAAAATACCAACTCACAAGCTATACCCCCCCGCGATCGCACTCTTCACCCCCCTCAACATCGCCAACCTACACACCTCCTTCAAATCCGACCCACTCATCCCCCCCGCCCTACCCGCCACCCTCTCGAAATCTATTTTACTGCTCTTCGGCTCGTCTCGTAGCAATACCCTCAGAATTTCGGCACGAGAGTTCGTATCCTCAATTCATTATTATAATTAATTACAATAATAATTAATAAATAATAATAAATAACAACAATAAATAACAATAAATAATAAAAACAATAACAATAAATAAAAAAATACCGGCAAAGGAACGTAGAACCGTGCCGGCATTCGTCTCAAAATCGCGTTGTCCACATCGTACGGTCGATTCGTCGCTCCCATTACTATTACTGCACTATCTTCAATAATAAATAATAATAATAATAAATAATAATAATAATAAATAATAATAAATAATAATAATAA